GACGAATATAAAATGTTACATAACATGGTATGAAATTTGATAGGACAGAATTCAATATTGTAAAAAATATAAAAATATAAAATTAATAATTTTAGGTTTAAAATGTCAAGTGAAAAAGATTCAGAGTGAGAATAGTAATAATAATAATGATAATAATATTAATAATAATAGTAATAAGGGAAGAGTACATAGAATAACTAAATAAACAAAATAAATAAATGTCTATCCCTCTACGGCCAAGGCAGAAGTAGGGATTGTACATACTTCTTTTGCACACAAAGGTCTGGCTTAAAGTCATGAATTGCCAAGGCCTCAGCTGTCTTTAGAAGTCTGTAACGAATAAAACGCGGGAAGTTAGCATGGATTCTATATATGATCTTAAAATCATGGTCAGGGTTAACAGAGTGACAGAAGTCGATCAGGTGTTCCAAAATAGAGCTTCTCACACACTTCCTTTCTCCCTTATAAAACCAAGCTGGAATATGTTCTCGTATCCGTGTGGAAAGCGTCCTCTGACTACGGCCAATGTACCTTGCTCTACAGGAGCAGGTGAACTGATAGATGCACATGGAGGCGGCCAGACGAGGTAGCTTATCTTTTATAGAGGTAGAGAACAACTTGCGGCTAGTGAACGTCATATGTAATTTTGCTGCATAGAACGTCTTACGGACTGATTTGGAGAGACGATTTTTGAGCATATCTGAATCTTGATCACCTTTGAATTCCAAGTTCATGAATAAGGTTTTCTTTGGAACTGTGTCGGTAACCAGTTTAGACTGCTTTTCTTTCATGTTGCTGTCAATAAATCGGCTAGGGTAACCGTTTTCTGCCAGCGTGGCTTTTAAGAAATCAAGTTCCGAGGCAACGGAATCAGGACTACAAATTTTCCTTATCCTATAGCAAAGCGAATGAATTAAATTCCTTTTCCTGGAGATAGGCACCCAACTGTAAAAATTAGTTAGTTGTCCGTTCCATGTACGTTTCCGGTGGATAGATCTTTTGAGAGATCCGTCATCACGTCTGCTAAGGCACACATCGAGAAAGGGGATACTTAGTTCGGATTCCTTTTCTACGGTGAATTGTAAAGAAGGATGGCAGTTGTTGAAAGTAAACAGGACATCATCAAGAATTACATTTTTATCGCAGATAACGAAAGTGTCGTCTACGTATCGTTTATAAATGTCAAAATGATCGATGGTTTGACTAAGTTGAGAATTTTCAAGCTTAGCCATAACAATCTCGTCGGAATATATGAACGGATCCGACCAGTAGGCTCCATGATATCACGTTTGTATGGACTCTCTAAAATTCATAAAACAGGATTACCCCTGCGTCCTATCCTCGATATGGCGGGTTCTCCTTATCACGGAATCGCTCAATGGCTAGCTGAAATACTGGAACCAGTCAGAAGGCAAGTATCTAAGTTTTCCATTGATGATACGTTTAAATTTATTGATAGCATTAAAGATTTCAATGTCTCAGACGAAATCTTGTTCTCATTAGATGTAACGTCGCTTTTTACCAATGTTCCTCTCATGGAAACTGTTTGTTACTTATGTGATTATATTGATACACATAGTTTAGAAATAGGACTGCCGACCATCTACCTCAAAGAGCTTTTATTGAGATGCACGTTGAATGTTCAGTTCACCTTCAATAATGAGATCTTTAGACAGAGAGACGGCATTGCCATGGGATCACCACTGGGTCCCTTGTTGGCTGATTGTTTTATGGCTAAGCTTGAAAATTCTCAACTTAGTCAAACCATCGATCATTTTGACATTTATAAACGATACGTAGACGACACTTTCGTTATCTGCGATAAAAATGTAATTCTTGATGATGTCCTGTTTACTTTCAACAACTGCCATCCTTCTTTACAATTCACCGTAGAAAAGGAATCCGAACTAAGTATCCCCTTTCTTGATGTGTGCCTTAGCAGACGTGATGACGGATCTCTCAAAAGATCTATCCACCGGAAACGTACATGGAACGGACAACTAACTAATTTTTACAGTTGGGTGCCTATCTCCAGGAAAAGGAATTTAATTCATTCGCTTTGCTATAGGATAAGGAAAATTTGTAGTCCTGATTCCATTGACTCGGAACTTGATTTCTTAAAAGCCACGCTGGCAGAAAACGGTTACCCTAGCCGATTTATTGACAGCAACATGAAAGAAAAGCAGTCTAAACTGGTTACCGACACAGTTCCAAAGAAAACCTTATTCATGAACTTGGAATTCAAAGGTGATCAAGATTCAGATATGCTCAAAAATCGTCTCTCCAAATCAGTCCGTAAGACGTTCTATGCAGCAAAATTACATATGACGTTCACTAGCCGCAAGTTGTTCTCTACCTCTATAAAAGATAAGCTACCTCGTCTGGCCGCCTCCATGTGCATCTATCAGTTCACCTGCTCCTGTGGAGCAAGGTACATTGGCCGTAGTCAGAGGACGCTTTCCACACGGATACGAGAACATATTCCAGCTTGGTTTTATAAGGGAGAAAGGAAGTGTGTGAGAAGCTCTATTTTGGAACACCTGATCGACTTCTGTCACTCTGTTAACCCTGACCATGATTTTAAGATCATATATAGAATCCATGCTAACTTCCCGCGTTTTATTCGTTACAGACTTCTAAAGACAGCTGAGGCCTTGGCAATTCATGACTTTAAGCCAGACCTTTGTGTGCAAAAGAAGTATGTACAATCCCTACTTCTGCCTTGGCCGTAGAGGGATAGACATTTATTTATTTTGTTTATTTAGTTATTCTATGTACTCTTCCCTTATTACTATTATTATTAATATTATTATCATTATTATTATTACTATTCTCACTCTGAATCTTTTTCACTTGACATTTTAAACCTAAAATTATTAATTTTCATATTTTTATATTTTTTACAATATTGAATTCTGTCCTATCAAATTTCATACCATGTTATGTAACATTTTATATTCGTCTACTAATCTTATAATTATGTACCCTTTTCCAAAATCTATACACCTTATGTATTATTCTATATACGACATTAATTATTGTGCCACTTGACATTAAACTATGATTATAATCACAAATATTTTAATTGCATTTCATACTATTATTATTTCATGTATTCACACCTTTGACCTAATTCCCTCACCGGATATAAATTTTTAAAAAAAACCATATATATACGATTGTACAGCTTGATAATAAATTCGTTGAAAAGAGTCTCTTCGCTGAATATTGTGTTCTTAATTAACATATAGTGCACACAATGCATGTTGGACTGAATCACTACCATTAGTTCTCTTAGGGATATGAAACGCCTTGAAAACTGATGCTGGTTGTATTGCCGCCCAGTATATGGCACAATACTACAACTGCCAGGTGAGTTTGTTTCTCCCTCGAGCTTCCTACCAGCGGTAGATCACGCCTCATAAGTCAGCAGGCTTACAAACGCAAAGCGTTCAGTTAAACCTGCTCCCCTTCAACCACAGTCCTCAGACGTCTTTTGTTCGACCCGGTTTGAAAACTTCTTCACATGTATTTGTTCGTCGTGACTCTGTGCGTCGACCTCTGGAACTCCCATACGACGAACCATATAAAGTTATTAAACGTATGGATAAATTCTTGTCTAAGACAAAGACAGGCCGCGAAGACAATCAGCGTTGACAGTCTTGGAAGGTAATCCTACTAGCCTAGAGCTGAGCATTCCCAATAATCCACAAGTAGCCGAATATCCTTTAGTCCTTGAAGAAATCACTAACACGGCGAAAGCCACCGAACCTTCTGTCTAGTCCTCGAAGAAAATGCGATCTGGACGAAACGTGATATTCATCCAACTCTTATTCGTTCGTGGTATTTATTTTTTCTTTTCAGACACATTATTTTATATTACATCCCGCAACACAAGTAAAAAACTTATCTATAACCGTACATGTTACATCCACTTAAAAAATTAGATGTATACTTATTTTCGATATTCTAATTTTCGCATTATTTTACTGTGTGGTAGATGCATATCGTTTTTGAGACTTTATTTATGGTACATGTTCCTCAACAAGGTTCTTGGCATTCTTGTTTTGTTTACCAGGTGCGATGGGCACTGGACAAGAAGCAAACGAAGCACTAGATCCAACGGACGAACATCAACGAAGCGATGTACAAACATCTTATTAGCATAGGTGGACGACCAGTGGGGACTCTACCAAGCCGCTGAGAAGAGACTTTTACCGATGGGGAACCATCGAGTTTTTTACTTCCGCCTGGTTCTGTCTTAGGTTCCTCACAACCCTACTATGGGGGGAGTGAGCTGTGGCGGTAAATAATTCCCCAAAATTATTAGCCACAACATTCATCAACAAACATTGGATGCTGATCGTCACTATTTCGGTAGATTTGTTTAGCTGAAGGATTCCGGTCAAGCATTCCCGCCATTTGGTACTCCGTCGTGTCACGTTCGTGCACGATCACTAGTCAGCTAAGCAACCATCTCGCACTCCGATTTGGTCTCGAAATATATCTCGTCATTCGGACGATCAAATATCGTGTTTTGCTTTGCCTTTGGTCTACGCGGAACGAATACTACAGAAGTTGTGGGTATAAGATCTTGCGTTAGTATACTTCGTACTATCCGTGAACGTCAATACCATCAGCCTTCACAAAACTAACGTGACAGAGATAAAGTGGTTAAGTTGCTCGTCGACTGCAGAAATGGTCCGAGGTTCGATTCCTGGTCGACGCACACCTGATATCAATGGTCTGCCTTCTTAATTTTGGCTATAGATATCACATCCTAGAAATTCCACAACTGCACCAAAATACTCTGTGGAATCAAGCAAGCAGTGAATCAGAAGCTCGAATCGTTTTTACAGTTGATTTATCAAAATATTTTGAATAGTATGAAAAACAATGATAGAACGTACAAATTAAGACTGAAATGTAGGACTAAGACATTTTATTGCATGATAAATTGATAACCTATGACCTAAAAACTCATTTTCTTTCGCGGTATGTGTAAATTCTGCGTTACAAAAGGACAACACGGTTGGTTGTATAACTAGTCATAATTATGTATCAGTGGTTATTTACAAGGTCAGGTTCTTGGCTTTAGTTGTATTTTAAGCAACGTTGCTGCCAGCGCCCGCACTTACTGCTAAAATTGTCTTTAATTAATACCGGTTATGGGTTGGTTAATTTTTGAGAAATTCTGTTATGTGCCATGCTATATTGCTTGTATTAATGTGCTGAATCCTTCAATAAAGTCTTTTTCAATTTATTTTCACACATATATATTGGTGTGTAGGTGTTCCTGTGACGTGCATTAAAAAACGTAGCACCTTCTGGCAATAAATTGGAATATCATTTCTCTTCTAAACTGTGGTTGCAGTGGTTTCATAAATCTCTCCCACCGCTGAAAATGCATTTTAGATCTCAACTGCTCCCAAGAATATTATATTTGGATAGGAGTCAGTACTCCGACATACATGTTATTAACTGTATGCAGATGATTTGCCAGCACATATCTTTCATTTTGGATGTAAATAGTGACAATATGTATCGTTGTAGTACGAATGCCGGCAAAGTCAAACTTTAATAGCCATCTCATTAAACGACTCGTAATTAGAAATACAACTGATGTAACGAAGTCATATTATTCCTTGTCCTCTGGATTCACATGAGTTCTATGAAAATCGAATGTTTGATGACTGTTTGAATGACGGGTTAATTGTGGTTATGCATGTATATGCAAGGGAATCTTGGTAGGATGACTGGCCATTCGGGAAGATGTTGATTTCGTGCTAGGTTAAAGACCAGAGTCACAAATTCTAAGGAGTTTCAAAGTACCGTAATCTACACTCATCTCTGTAATAATTTTGCGACATTTAATGCAACTTAATTGTAATTAGTTAACTTATCGCAGGTGGCTGCCATAGTTTAAAGTCGGCCCGAATACGACTGCTATTGTGTTCAGTTGAACGTAATATAAGTAAAAATCCATCCTCTTGAATTCCTTATCTAACCCAGGTTTGTGAAATGCATAATTAGATAATCGTATCAAATATGTTGCATCATAAGACTGATTATATGACAGTTAAGATCCTATGTTCACCAATTTTGAACATCAGGCATTATTAAAGAAATGCATGTATTTTGCAAAATGATGGTGCAAACTGTCCATACTGGTTACAGATCATTGTTATCTAAGTTAATTACCCGTTTAAGTAGCCTATACAGCAAAAAAATCATCTACCTCAGATGAGCAATTTTTCTGGGAATCTTCATCCTACAAATGCCATCTCATTCTCTTAGATTAGTATAAAATTTCAGAATAAGCTGTCTCATGATTCAAGAACAGCCTTGTCAACGAAAATTCAAATATCTTTTACTATATTACTCAACAATTTTGAAAATTACTATCGTGTAACAAACCTTTTTATAAACTTATGTTGCCTAACCGATCTTTAGAAATGGACATGCGTACTATATTTTATTAGGTGTGATTCCGTTTACTTATCAATTGGTTGCCTGGAACAGATATTTCATATATCCACCTTTTAGTCACATTATTTCAGGAGTGGTGGTACTGTTAAGGTGTCTTGGCTGTAGCAGGCGGAGTGGGATTGGAATGCAAGTCCTGTTGGCTGATAGTCAAGTAATTAACTAGGGTACTTTGAAGAACTGATACAACTGACTGGAATTGTCTCCTTTGTTATGTATGTTTTCGGTTATCCGACGTAAGCAGACAGTAAGCCATCAGATAGGAAAATTGTCCGTGGCAACCCGGCAGAATCTTATATTTGGGTCATACGTAAACCTCAAAGCTAAAGATTAGAAAATCCACTAAGTTATGACTTCAAATCTTACTCTGGATAATGAGATCGGTAAACATGTTTCTAGGGTTATTTTCAAGTGTTGGTTAGTAAAAATTTGACTGATTACAAGATAAGACTAAGCTGACATCAGAACCATTGGACGATTGGGACAGTTCTTTTGGTCTGGTTTTCGACTCCTTAGTATGATGTACCACCATCCCACCAAGGATCAAACCAAGCACTGAAACACCACTGTCCCAGTGGTGCTAATGTACTCTTTAAGGTATTTTATAAAGTGTGAGTCATGAGTTAGTTGCGTGTGTTGTACCATGGTTTATATAACTGCTGTTACGCTTCCAGGACACAGTCCACACACTTGTAATAAAGGATCTACGTTGAATGTGTAACTTGCTGCTTAATCTACAAGGCCATGTTAAAATGTCTGCTTCGTCCTTATGAAATCTTACAGTTGCTTAAAATTCATTTCGAATTCTGGTTCTCCTACTGGCCTTTTAATTCATGTCAGTAGTAAAGCAAGGTTTTTTATAGTCTACGCACATATCAAGCAAATATGTTGTATCCGTGGATAAGGGGATCAAGTTTCCAATAACTAATTTAACTGCAATAAACCTCACCCTCGCATTGTGGTTTTCTGCAATTCCTGATAGAATTCAGATGACCAGTTATTAGTTGTTTTGAAGCAGTGAAAGCCAGTAATCAGAAAGAATCACAAGAGGAGTAAAGTGTAGTCACTTCACATGTTTACTTAATGTTACTGACCATTTAAATCTCCTTATGCTCTGGTACAATTGCGAATAAAATAGATGTAAGGTTTGCTCCAAGTTTGCATCAAAATATTTTGATAAACTCAGATTTCTCAGTACAATGTAAGTATCTTTTACCACTTATTTTCATGATGCCTAGAATTCGTATATTTGATGAAATAATCATAAAAAGCTTTCACTTTTGTTCCTTTTAGTATAGTCATTAATTATGGGGAAATCCTCCCGCGATAAGCGTGATGTCTACTACAGGCTAGCCAAAGAGGAAGGTTGGAGAGCTCGTAGTGCATATAAACTTTTGCAAATTGATCAGGAGTACAATATTTTGATGACTTGTGGTGAGTTGATTATACAGTAACTTTATCATAGTGATCATATTTGATTGATTCTCATATTCATAACGGGTTGCGCAAAGACTGTCACAAAAGAAATTCAGGAGAATTTTATGTCTCTTCATTAAATGCATATTAAACCATTTTTATCCTGCTGCAGTAAATAACAAAATTAACAGTGGCAGTAATACAAATGAACTGTCGTCAAGATTTGACAGAATACATCTAAAATATTTGGGTGCCGAGTGAGAAGTAGACATTTGTAAAAAATTATATTTGTAAAATCTCAGCGAGACTGAAATCAGTAATTCCAACGTTTCGTTTGGCAATCTGGTCCGAACTTCTTCAGGGAAATTTATCGAAATTAACATAACAGAGGTTAATATATAAGAGGAACATCACTTGATTTTAAAAACTTTGTCCAATCATGAGTCATTCAACAAGTATAATAAACAAAACTTTATGAGCTGTGAATAAAGCAGCTCAATCTTCAGAAAGAAGACAAAGCAATAAGTCCGACAGGGTGCTTCTGCTAAACTCTAATTCTAAACACCATTATTTTGAAAATACGTCTAATCATAAAATTCCAGATACTAACAGTTTGAACAGACATGAAGGCGTGATGTTAGCTGATGCATAGGAAATCCTTATTAATAAATAAAAATGGATATGTATCACTAATTATTAATACTTGGTCAAAATTCTCGACTGTCCATATCTTCTTATGGAGACGTTAAGAAATATTTTACAACTGTTAACCCACACACGCATACACACTCTGTTTAAAGTGTTTAACAAAGGTAGACCAATATTTGTAAGTCCGAGGTCAAATTTTGATCACTCATGATTGGACAAAGTTTTTAAAATCAAGTGATGTTCCTCTTATATATTAACCTCTGTTATGTTAATTTCGATAAATTTCCCTGAAGAAGTTCGGACCAGATTGCCGAACGAAACGTTGGAATTACTCATTTCAGTCTCGCTGAGATTTTACTAATATAATTTTTTACAAGTGGCAGTAATAGTTGTAGTGTTATTAGAACACAGTTTATAGCAGTTTGTCATATATCTTACTCTGTCAAGCAACATTGTGTCACGTTTTATTACGTGGAAGAGTCCAATTGCGAGTGACTGGAATTTAATGAGAGCTTTGAAAAAACTGTACGCATTCTGTATGCCGTGATTTTTTAATTTTTCCTCACTTCATTTGCATAAATAGACACTGTTGTGTTCCACAAGTCATTATCAAATAATTAGAACCGTATCACAAAAATTATCCTATTATTGAATTGTACTCAACCATTTTACTAGTATAGGAAAAATCCTCATTTAGACATTTCGGAAACAGAAAGATTGAAAGAGATTAATTATAAAGTAAATATTTCTTCTCCCAATTTTGCTAGTATTAAATTTCTGTCACATCAGAATCTTATATCGCTCACCTTATTTGTTGTATGCTTTGAAGTGTGTCCTATGCAAAGTCTGTGACATGTTTACGCATGCACGCCTACACATCGCCTTCCTCGACCGACGGTCAATGTTAGCTGACATAGGGTCAGGCTGGAAAAGAGCCAGTGGTGGTCAAACTGAAACATGGCCTCATCAGTCAATAAAATCCATAACAGTTAGTTCAAGCCACGTAGGAAGATGTAGACTTCCTGGTTGGGGTCCTCGGGATGGTAAGAAACATTGAAAGCTGGAAACAATTGATCATATGGCTCAAAATCGTTCTCAATAACTGGCGCAGATGCATCCACTCCTTTTGATTTATCATATCCAATAGAACTTCACTTTTCGTCCATATCACTATTATTTTTGCCTCACTTCTGTTTATTATCTCTCTCTGTCTTGAGTCTTTCTTTACTATCTTCCCTTGGTTTGTGTGCTATATGCAGTGTGGCGACTCAAACTGCTGCACATCGTTGCAAAGTTATATGTTGAAATCAGTCGGTCAGCCTAAAGCTGAAATAAAAGTGTAAACTGTCCTTATGAAGTTTGGAATTGTTAGCGGTTGGAATACTGTAAGTGATATGTAACATCATGGCTTAATTAGCTTAAGATTTGGAAAACAGTCTTAACGTACCTTTTCTCTGGGTTCATTTCTTTCACTTGAGGATACGATTAATAGATTGGTGAAGTAATCGTTTCTTGCAAGTCATTTAACAGTTTTTATGCCACTGATTACTTACATTGTCTCACCACAACAGTTTATTTATAAGCCTGAAATATTATCATGTACTTACTTGAAGTATCAACATCAAGTGTAAAGCAGACAGCAGGGAAGTATACTCTTTCTAGAGTAATCTACTTTCATAACTATGATCAAAGTGATGGTCACACTTCTATTATTTATTAAGAATAGTAGAAATCCCTTGTAAGAAAATGAAACCAATTTAATCTATTCAGTAATCAAAATAAATTATGAATGTTATTTGGTGAATTTGTATCAATATCTCTACTATGTCTTTATTTAGAATTTCATGGCAATTAACATACCATACTTTCATCATTTTAAGATCATGTCCATGTGGAACGAGTGGTCGATTTATGTGCCGCACCTGGTAGCTGGTCCCAAGTACTATCAAAGATTTTATGGGAACCAAAATCTCCAGAAGCTCAGAAATCTGTATAACACTTTGAAAGTTTATTATGAATGTATCTTTGTGTAGGTGAAAATTGTAGCTGTCGATCTGCAGGCAATGGCGCCAATACCAGGAGTGGTTCAAATCCAAGGTGATATTACTAGTCAAGATACTGCCCAACAAATTATCAGACACTTTGATGGCAAATTAGCTCAGCTTGTTGTTTGTGATGGTGCTCCAGATGGTAAGTTGGTCTTAATGTCAAAAGTTTGTTTTTTGTGGAAACTTTACTTCAACTGCCCCTAAGTCTCTTTGTTAGCACCATCAAAAATCATCATATCACTAGCTTGCTAAGCAGGTGTGGAACATTTAGAGATGGATTCGAATTATGTAGATTGTGGTGGTTTATATGGCTATCTGGATAGAGACCAATGGATATCATTTAGGTCTTCCTGTTCCATAACGTATGGGACCCCACTTCACGCTTATTCAGTTGGCGATCATTTCCTTCAAGCATAAAATGTGCTTTACACCGTTATAAGTGATCAACAGGTTACTGTATCTAGCCTGTTGTGTGATGAATGTGATTTTAAAGGTATGGCAAAAACTGGAACAGAATACACCAATCTGGTTCACTTCTGGTGCGTTGTAATGTCATTGCGATCGTCACAGTTGGCATTTGTAACGCGTCAATTCCGAATGTTTCATCATCGCTATCTGTGTAGAATCGTCTGGGTCTGTTTTCAGCACTAAGTAATTATCACATGAGTATTGCCTTCCAATAAAAGGTGGAAGGTAGTTAACCCATCATGGGTCTCTGTGGTTCAAATTATATTTATTCATTATTACGATATGTCGATGCATCACTACTCTGAACGGAGTCTTAGAGTCCATACAACTCAGTCGCTCTAGACGTCATCAGATATGTTGAAGATTGAAAATCACTGTCGACTATGCTGTAGTTTCCGTGTCTTGACCATTACTGGAAGTAATTAACGCTGTTTCGACTGTATTCTTGTTTCATTCTTAACTTTTCCCCATGATTGTTCTTCTGTAGTTTTGTTTGGGTGCCTTTTGATACCCATTTTGAAGTAACTTTATGTTTGAACAAATTATTACTGAATTTTCTTTTCATTTCACTGTTGTTTGTAATTTCTTTTTTAAATATTTGCATCATTTAAAGAGAAAATTATACGCGATTAAGACTATACCCATTTGTATTCAAATATTTTTAAATCTTTCAGTGACAGGTTTACACGATTTAGATGAATATGTTCAGTCACATCTTATTTTGGCTGCTATAACGATCTGCTCAAGGGTGCTGGAAATCGGTGGCACTTTTGTAGCTAAAGTTTTTCGTGGACGTGACTCTGGCCTGTTAGCCTCTCAACTTCGATGTTTATTTTCGGGTCAAGTCAGTTTTTCTAAACCACGAGCCAGTAGAAATTCTAGTCTAGAATCGTTTATTGTATGTCGGGGTTTTGTGGGTCCTCGTTTACGGACAGATTTGAAATCGTCTCTATCAACTTCTGAGGAACACTCCGATAGTGATAATTTACTATTATTATGGTATGAAAAGGATAACTTTGAAGATGTAAGTTGGTGTGTTAACTTTCATCGAATACAACAATTTGTTTCCAGACGTTGTATTTGCTTTAACTGTATTCCACTGGTATAAGACATATAGGAATGCGTAAGTCGCCCAGCTCAACTTCAAGATACTACAGACCAGTGGTTGACTGTGCTTACGGATATACTTTAATGTTGTTCACAATGATTGCCATAAAGATGCTAAAAACTGGAAAAGCAGCAGAACGAGACTGAATCCCCGCAGAAGCACTGAAAACGGACCCAGAAACATCAGCGAACTTGATGACACCACTACTGGAGAAGCTGTGGAAAGCGGAGAAGGTGCCTACGGATTGAAGGGAAGGCTACCTATTCAAACTGCCAAAGTAAGGAGACTTAAGTCCATGCAATAATTGGTCCGGCATTATGCTCCTGTCCATCCCAAGCAAAATACCAAGCTGCATCGTCCTGGAGAGAATCAAACAGGCCTTGGATGAAAAAGTTCGACTGGAACAGGCTGGATTCAGGAGAAACAAGTCACGGATCGATCAAATCTCAACACTACGTATCATCATTTAATAGAGCTTGGAATGGCAGCTAGCTTTCTATCTCAACTTCATTGACTTTTTAAACGCATTCGACAGCGTCGATCGCTACTACGGGGTGCCGCCAACAATTATACACCTCATCCAACAGTTTTACGATAGTGCTGCATGCCAAGTAACCGACAACGGGAAACTCACGGAACCCTTCGAAGTGGAAACGGGAGTAAGACAATGACTTTCCTGGTTGTGTTAGACTGGATAATGCGAGAGACAGCGGGCCGGTCAACGAGGAGACAGTCATAAAATGGAGTCATACAAGAAACCTGGAGGATTTGGATTTCGCCTATGAAATTTGTTTGATTTCCCACAAACTGAAAGATATGCAAGTGAAAAGCAACAAGTTGTCAGAAGAAGCACCAAAGATGGAAAGGCCTTCAGGTAAACACAGAGAAAACAGAGGTGATGAAGATTCCTGGCCAACAGCAACAACAACAATCAGCATAAACGGGAGGAATCTGAAAGTAGCAACTTCCTTCACCTACCTACCTGGGAAGCATCGCTTCAACTACAGGCAGAACTGATGAATATATCAAAGCAAGAATTGGAAAAGCAAGACAAGCTTTCATTTCTCTCAAGTCCGTGTGGAGATCAACAGTACTCAGCATGAAAAATAAGATGTGAACTTTCATCTTCAATGTGAAGTCAGTGCTGCTATACGGATCAGAAACTTGCAATGTGCGTCACAAAGGGCACTTCGAACAAACTACAGACCCTCATCAACAGTTGTCTTCGCTCAATTCTCAGGATCAGATGGCCGGCCAGAAAAGATCAGCAACAGGGATCTCTGGGAGCGAACCAACTGTGCAACAAATATGCAGGAAGAAATGGAGGTGGATTGGCCATACTCTGAGAAAACCATCAAGTGAATGACATCACACACCAGACCATTGCTCCAGTGGCACCCGAACAGAAATCATCGAGTTGGTCATCAGTGCGACGGTGTCATGGAGGAAGCCATGTGAAGAGGAGATGAAAGCATGTGGGTAGAGGTGGAGCCAGGTGAAAACTTTTGCAGAGAACCAAACGCAATGGAGACGTGCGGCTAAAGCCCTATGTTCTTCTAGGAACTAAAGGAAACAATAAATAATAAAGATACAATTCACTTTCATATTTGCATATTTATGAGTCTAAATCTTTTACAGGTTTATTCTTTATGTGTCATTCTAATGTTCATCACGTTTTGTTTTTATAACATTGCTGTTGGATTTTATATAGGTTCTACAAAAATGCAGATTATGTATAATAAAATCGTTTAGCTAGATGGTTACCTACTCATGTAAGTGAATCCACTAACTTGTTAATTAGTTGATTAGTCAGAACTCGTTTACCCGAATCACATTATGTAAATATAGCGGGCTATGGGCTACACACAGTGTGAGGGCTGACAATACTAATTAGTTGCTTAGGTTGGAATAGGTGGAGTGAAATTCGAATGATTCACTGACACACAAGTGAAAGCGGTCTTCTGCCTTACTTGATGAATGTTGCGTAGCTGAATCACTTATATATACTATCATCTTACAAGATGGATTAAGGTCGTGTTATTTGGTTACTCCTCTCTTTATGAATCCATAAAAATGTGTCGTTATTATAATATACTTACAAAATGTTTTACATGCTAAGATAATAAGTAGCGTCTCCCGATTTGTGTGTTTATTATTTCTCAGCAATTATTTTCATCCTGTTGTCGATATTCGCAGTTCAGCTTGTCTAGTTTCCGCTTGTGAAACATTGTAGCAATAAATCCAATCAATAACCACATATCAAGTAAATTCGTGAGAACTTACCTCAGTATCTTAAATAACATACTAGTCTGTCAGTGTAAAGTGTCATTTTTTTTCATAAAAGTTTACCAACAATTCACACTGCCTAAGATGTTAACTTTTCCCGTAATTACACAACAATACACATGTTATCTGTTTAAGACATTGGAACAAAGATACAGCGACAAACATCCTGCAAAACTATGGTATATAATAGATGTTTTAAATTGGGGGTGATGACCAGTGAGGTGTAGTAGTCTGACTGTATTCGCAACTTGTTTTTATACAAAAACAAAGACTAAGTTGCATAAATTTACTACAGAAAACTAGATTCTGCTTCAAGTAGCCAATCTACATTACTCCACAAAGAAAAGAGCCCTCATTACACATCATATAGAATGGGATACTAAGTTCCTTTCGCTTTATATATTGTGATGGCATATTCATAAAAACAGTTATCTTCACATCTGTATTCCTTCAGAAATTTTTGCAGTTGGTGGGTTTAAATCATATCATATCACCTTACAAATTTATCATGTATTCTGAATTTAACTACATAAAACCTTACATTTAACTTTAATTTTTCTTATCCATTGCTTTTGTTTCTCATTGATGTGTTTAATTTCGGTAGTGGTTATTCCTAATAACTAGTGAATACCTTCCTTACTTCTGAACTGAATTGAATGTTCAGTGTAGAACTTTATAAAAAAGAGCAGCAGTTTAGTTTGTCACATTTGATGAAAGCACATATACTTTATACTGATTACTAGACAAATCTTTTTACCTTATTCTTCAATCTCCATACAAATACATTAATTTAACATTCATCTAACCAAAAATGAATACTTTAATTTACATATATTTAAAAAAGAGTGTCGGTTAGTTGACAAGACTCTATAGTCAAACCGATAGAAAGAATATTTATTCATCTTGAAGACTTTTTGTTTGGCAGTATAAGTTAATTTACGATATCCTATAGGATATTTATCCCTCTGCATTTTCCCTATCACTTTTTTGATTACGCTAACGAGTGTGCATTGACCTAATCTTCATTTGCTAATAGGTTGTGGAACACACGACTGACTACTTGTCAGCTTCCGACATTTGCTATTTTGTATGCACAATTTCCCCTTTATAAGTTTGAAAAGAGCAAGAATAAGCATTGAAACAGAATAACATGAATTCATTTCACCGGTTCACTTCATCCACACACACACACACACAAAACCTATAACTGATATTTATTACACCGCATTATAACCAGGTTTTTAATATACGTAACTTTATTTGATAGAAGTCAGTGATAGCAAATACAAGAAATTGTTCGACATAACGTCCTAATAATATGTTACATAAAGATTTCACAAATGTATACATATATATATATTATTAGAAATAAATTTGTTTTGAGGATAGGAGAATGCATGATATGTGAAAAGTTGCGTTGATGCGGCCTGTCCTACCAATAGTCGATCAGACTTTCCACAAGGTTGCTTGCTGGTTACCTGAAAACTTGAAGCCTAAACACGTCTATAGCTGATCAAACACACCGAAAGATTCACTCAGTGTTTTAAAAACTCTATTCGAAAGGCAGTTGCTGGTGTTCGCTACACTGTAAATTAATTTATGTTTCTTTTCTAAAAGTAACTACCGTCCATAATGAATTGCTTTCAGCCCTTCGCTATCTGTGTTTGCTTTATCTATTTTCTTATAGGTTGATTCGTCTCAACAGTCTCTGTTACCATTCATTGCGTGTGGTGATTTAAGAGGCTTCGATTCTGATGTCACGTATACACTGGACCCAGAACACGTGGTTAAGCCTCCAGTACAAGATCCTCTAGATCCTGCGTACTCAGAGGTTTGTAGACGTGGTCGTTCAAATCAATCTAATAATTTAAATATTCAATCTTCAAACTTGGAAACTGACAAAATTGATAAATTTTCAGAACGTTTACAGAAATTAACGTTTTCTACAAGCGAATGATTTTCAACTCCTCCTGTCGACTATGTCACTATTTAATGATTTCGATTCAGTCTTGTCTATTTTTTGATATTAATAAATCAAATATATCTAGCCTTTAGTTTTCCTTTCTTTTTTGCTGCTGATGTCTGTTGTTGTCGTTGTTTTTTTTTGTTGTTGTCATCGTTTTTTTCTTCTGAAAACCGTCGTCATTCCATCTGGTCCCTTATACAGTTTGATGACGTAGTTTCTTATCAGTCCTTAGCTGTTTATGAGGCACCTATCACCCTGTTGTGCACTTTCCTGGCACCAAAATAAAGTTGGCGCTAAGATAAATTGAATCAAGTAAATGAACTTCTACTTCGACTCGGAGTGCTCAAGGTGTTTCAAGTTTTCTCTGAATAGTGATACGCGTTTCAGCAGGCTGTGAAATCATTATGTACTTTCCTATTAAGATACACGTGTATAGAATATCTAATTCAACCACACTATTCAGATAATATCCAGACAATACCCCCCGAAATAATCTTAACATATTTATTTTATTTAAATATCCTGTTTTCCAGAACATATTCCTAAGTAACCTAGTCGTTTTGATTCATGTCTTCTTATCAGTGCATGATGGCAATAAAATGTACTGATTCCGTGAGGGATTAGTAAGGCTAGTAAACTGTTACATATCAAAAACACATCCAGTGCATTACGATCGATTCATTTCACAATAAGCATGGACTTTGAGTTCTATTTATCAAACTACTCACATAGTTTGTTCCATTGTGACTTAAATTCACCACTTCTACAGAAAGAGTGATTTGGACTGTCCTACCATTTCAGATGGGTTGGTTGAACTAGAAGCAGTTGCTGTCATAGTGTAAACTACTTAAGATTTAGTAATTTTTGGGAATGAAGATGTATTGTCGGAGGAAAGTAGTGAGACGCAAGTAAAGTATGTCCCTGTGATCAATTGCAATCTAAGTTTACTACTTCTCCCCTCTAGAGAGGGAGATATTGCATCCTCGTATTTCTGTAGCCGATAATAGCCTACTTTGAGCTGATGAATGTCTTTATTTGGTTGGCTTGTGACTAACTCCAAATATATATTTCATCAGTTACGGGACTGATGTATGTCAACCATTTCTTACTTTGTGATCATTCTTCATTTTTCTCACTAAGAGATTCCTATCACTCTAAATTCTCTCCTACAGCCTTTTCGGATGGCTTGAGCTCATGGTGCAACAGACCTTTTGTCTTAAATCTATCCTACAAACTGTCGTATTCTGTGCCAAGTCGTAGAGCATCATTAGTCAGCTGGTGAATGGGTGTTTGTGGTGTCTCACTTAACCCGAACAGTCAGATTATGTACATCACCTCTGGAATGTCTGAGACTCATGATAGTCGGTTCTTGTGGACTTGTACGTTTAGACACACCTCAAAGTCACGGAGCAGAAAGTGTACTGGGTGAATTAGTTTCGATTGACAGTGGCATGTGTACTATACTGCGGTACTTTTAAAACTAAGAACGATTGTCACAGACTCATATGTCTTCTCCCACTTTCCCCCTGCAATCTAACTAACTGCAGCTTAGATTCATCAAATGAGATGTTCCACGGACAGTATCTCATCTGTGATAAAAGGCCAAACATGCAGAAGCGTTGATCATAGCGATTGAAGAGGCAGGTGGACCTATATTACAACAAGCAAGTAACTGAATTATCAGTGTAGAAGTTAGCCCAAAATTTCAAGTTTACACATCTTCTAAGCACTTATAGAGGAAGAAGTAATAAATGCGATCATACTACACTAATCGAACATGTGTGGGCCGAAAGTTAATTACATTAAAACTAGTGAGGGTTTTCGGAATCTGGAAGATGACAAGGAGTGAATGCATATACACCATTGAGAACACGTATCCTAATCACCTCAATCGGTCGAGCTTTACAACCTTTTCGATTCACTTTCCTCCTTACCTAACCTCATGTCACAATGCATCTAAGTAATCCTTGGACAGAACCCTATATGACTGTCAGTGGTGAACCATCACTCAAGCTGTTCCCAAATGTCTACTTGTTTCGACCCAGCATTAGGTCCAATTTTGAAGAATTGACGGACACGACGACACTATGTAACAACAGTGGGTACGAATTGATTTTGTTGCATGTAATTATCGTTGGAGGTCAATGAAATATCATCGGTACTTTAGAGTATATGCGAGGATATTGACCTTTCACTGGTCTTTACTTGCACATCCATATGTTATCGGGTTAAGGAAGAATGCACTTGGGACAGGTTTCGTGAGTTCAGTCCAGTGTTGTGGATTTTTAGGGTGTCACCTATGCACTCAGCTTTTTCTCTATAGGTGTAGAGTAGCACCATCAACCATCATTTCATTTGTGTGGCTGCTGTTCTGCTGCATGAGAAGTTCGTTCTGGATAATTCAGTACTAGCCAACTAACTAAAACTAACTAGTGATCATGTATGGGACAGTTAAAAGTGCCACAAAAAGTGTAGCAGAAAATAATCACTTTGCTCAGCTTAAATACTTCTAGTAGCATCTCCAGTATGCTGTCAGATTAGTGGTGCTTTGAATGACCTCTGAAAAATTAGTGATTATGGACGTTGAACATCGACAGCTTCTTCCCAGCTAACAAGTGGACGAAGAGTCGTCCCTCACGCCTAATTCAATAATTGTTCCACTTTTCAAGAAGAGAAGGCAAAACAATTGTAGTACGATGTTAGCGGGATTATCCAAACTGGGGTATTCTATAAGCTGTTAGGTTTCATAACTGGGTGAAGCTTAACCTAGGTGCAGGGAATGCTTGAGTAAAACCATACAGTTCACACACCTGACCATATGAGACCATGGAATGGAGGTGCATTGGTCGTATTTTCCTATTTGAGTATACCGTTCAACGTCATTGATGGGAAGATTTAGCAGTTATTGTATACTATTGTAGTGGAGTCCTAATGTTGATTATATAGACCCTGTTATTTGCATTGGTTGCCTAGTTGATAGACTTTATCTCACTATTGGCTAGAAGTCCATGACTCTGGTTACCTATAATTTTTCTTATTCCGTTTACAATAGTTAGGTAGTTGTGTCATTTTTGTGAGCAATATTTCCAGTATGCCAGAAATATAAATACCAGTAACTTCTATTGATTGGAAATTGACAATGACTGAATGGAGGAACTACAGTTAATCCACTTTTCTCATCCTGGGAGATAAATGTTGCTGACTCCTGTTCAGCATATTTCATAATAAGTTGAAACTGTATCAGGTCATCGTGTTGTTCTAAATTGTTTGGGCGCTTGGCTTCTGTCACAGTTCACCAAAGTTCAAGCATAGGTTAAACATGACATGCAGGGTTTTACTAAATTCGACGATTACACATATCGGTAACCGTAAATAATGTTGTATGACTTCATACTACGTGAAATAAAAGTTTCGATTTTGAACTTTTACTTTTCTCTACTACATTGTCCATGTTCTCTGCCTACATTTACTTGATTTCTACTTCCTGTGGAAAGCGTTTGCATTAACTAATACTGTACTATATCTGATACTGTGTTCTCTCTTTCCGTCTGTAGATGGTTACTCAATCTGAGCAGTCGATCCAATCGTCTGAAAACAAGACAGAATTAGAAAAGTATCAACCATCATCTGGGGAAATATTCAAAACCGTTCTTATCTCTCTGTTCTACTTGGTTGTGACTATTGCTATCGGAGTGCCTTTATGGTGGAAAACAACTACACCATATCATGCCCATCTACCTTACTCTAAGATTAGTGAGTTAAGCTCACGACCAATTGAAATCACTGTTCCAGTAAGTGTGTAAAATGTGTTTTTTATTACTGCTTTGTTCTAATTTATTCGTTTTCAAAATACTTTTGATACTACTTTTCATCTAATCTAACTGAATGATTTCTATTGCACATTTAGTGATAAGAGCTGTAAAGAGATTGCTGTCTTCATAGGGAGACGACAAATGAAAATGCATTCATCACCTTCTTGATGACATTGAATTCAACAGCCTACTTAAAATTATCAAGTGATACTGAGTTGAAATCAGACGGAATAAAACTTGTTCTCCCAATACCTTCACTTGCATTGTTGCGGGAAACCAAAGCAACAAGTCTAAAGGAAGACTGTGACATCAATAGAATCTCAGGCCAGGAGGAATACCGTTCTAAATCTAAATATGACAGTGTGGAGCGTAACGTCCACTACGAATTTGTGTTATACATGCGGGAGTCTTATGACTTGGGATATTATGAACTATCTCGGCGTCAGCAACCAGATGGGGACTTTCATCCAACTGATTGTATATGTGGAATACTGAACTTTGGAATTACAAGACACATTTCACGAGGAGAAATACAAAGAATGCATAGAGTAGGTAATATCGTCAATGTACTACCTCCAAGTGAGACAAGTGTTTAGTAGAGGGAGAGAGACAGAGTTGAAAAGATGGAATTTCAAAAGTTACAAAGATGGTTTTTCTGAAAAGTAGAAAATAGTCATACTTCGTATGGACTAAGTGCCACTTGACATTTCTCTTTTAGGCCTTGTTTTCAGTGAACATGATGTTGTTCTCTCATGGTATTCTATTGTGACAGGTGCACATTTCAAAGAAGGTGTGAACGAAGTTGATACAGGTTAATACAGTTAAGTGTGACCATCATCATTCACACCATAGGACTATGAGGTTGGGTAAACGGAGGCCACTTATTGTTACTAATCAATTTCTGAATATAATTCTCTTCGACATGCAACAGTAAGGATTGTCCCGTTCAAAGTGACACGTTTATCCTCTTTCATGTTACTAGGAGTTGACTTATTGTGAATTGTGTGTGTGTGTGTGTGTAAGTCTGTGTTTTGTGAAGCAAAGTATGCTCGCCTTCACTTTGAAACAAGAGTAACAGATCTCCTTTCGTTGTACATATTGAAAAGACAACTTGCTTACACTTATCATCATATTTTCCCTATAGATCAGGATAGTTAACTTTCATGCTAAACTAAATGATGGTGATATCAGTGGAATCAGTGACATGTTCACTCAATTCAATATGGAACAGTTGGACAAAGTGAATACAGATGTTACTGAAAAATTGTACATTAATTATCGTGTTAAAACAGAACAAGCTGGTCAATCGGAAATGGAGGCATGCACACATTCCCTTTCAGTGAGTAATAATCTTGACGAGTTTTCGTCTCACTTTGAAAAGGATTTAAGCAATTACTTAAGGTAAGTTATCACCACAGTTGATATTCACTATTGTGCAAGTTTTATGTAGAGGCGCAATTCGATTAGGTTTATTCACATGAATGGAATCCGTAAGTGAAGCGAAAACAATCAACAAACTGAGTGGCTTAGTTAGAATACGTTGAGTTAAGTGAGAAAAGCCTGCCTAGTTTCACCGGAATCGATGTTGATAAGACCGGTTTGCTTGATTAGCTAGTTCGGGATTGTGCATGAACAACGGCCCAGTGCAGTGTGATAGAGTGACACATGTTGACGTTGCTTGACTGACTGGCTGCACAACATGACTGGACCCTTAATGTCAGCCGCTTATGTAGTATTGGGTTAGAAAGCCTGGTCAGATCAAGAGGCGACTGGCAACAGAAGTGCTATCATTTCTCCATTTCAACCTGTGTACGTACGGACTTCACCTGAGATGCAATCATCAGAAACTGAATAAGCTCAATGGAATGCAGTCAAAAGACAACACTAAGTTACCTGATTCTTGGTGAGAACTTGGTCGCACACACAAGGAAGTCGTTTGAGTGGTGTATAATGAGACTAGTTGGACTTCTAACGAGTAATTGTGACTGGGTCGAGTGTGAAGATGACTCCTGATGGCAGTGGATGGTGACTGTGCTGCATATCATAAACTGATAGATGCCAGAATTCACGGGTCAACAGGGTGGTAAATTTTCGACTTGAGTGCTTTTGGACTCTATCGCTTCGAAAAGTACAAACCATGACTAGTAAGTGAAGTTACCTCATACCTTGAGGTTGCATCGGATTTCCCTGTTGGATAGAAATTCCACTGGTTTGGTAGAATAACATAATACTTACGACTCGGTGGTACTCTCTACGCGTGACATTCGCCGACACAGCACCTGGTAACAGGGGGAAACTTTACCAGTTGCAAGAACTAAGTCTGTGAAAGAGTCAGTGAATCGGACGTTATATTTATTAACAACCTCCACACATGTCTGAATACTTTGAGAAGGGACTCGATATTGCCCGAAACACTGTAGAAGTCCAAGGATTATTACACCAACATGTGGACATGCATCGTAAGGCTGGTTGAGCATGTCGTTGATGTTTTATGAACCTGTGTAGCTGTCTAATTGTGGTTGCGAGGATAACTTGTGAGATTTCTAGTCGTTCGAACTTCATTGAGTTCATACTTCTCCCATGCCTATAAAATATGTTCATTTCCACCTGAATGTATCAGATGGTGGATATTTTAATGTTGATAGACTTTAGGATCACTTCAAACAATGCGAGGAATGTTTTTCAACAATTAATTGCTTTCGTCTATCCCTCGTAACATTGTTGCTAATTTATCCCCGCCTACATTTTCTTCCTATTCGTCGTTTGTTAGTTCTTTAATTGATCTGTAAATGTGAGGTGGTAGTCGGTGTATGAAGTCATGCTGTGACCTGTAGGATAGTTAAATTGGGTTAGTTTATCATGATGTTCTCACTCTGGCCTGAGAGGTATTGTTACTCAACGGCTTAGGGCATTATCGTATTTTCTTCGTTATCAAAATCGATTGGTGATCATGCTGCAGTCGTTTTCTTCCTTGCAACAGTGAAAGTATTACAAAGTGACAAATGGCTCTTTGAATGAACTGAATCGGAATGCTTGCCTCTTAAGTGTCTTCTTCCTTAGCTCTACTTTCTCCTGCATCTTTTTAAATAGACGTTAATATTGTCCTGCTTGATACACGTTTTTCTGCTCTCTGTTCAACGAATTCATCGCTAAAACCAAACACAAAACGAGTTTTCACCAGAGGAGTGAATCTTTCTAAATCGGATGGTTTACCAGTCTGAAGTTGGTGTAACGGGATTCCAGCTAGGGACTCAGTGAATGAAAGCTGAGTGTTCGAACCAAGGAGCCACTTTTCCACTTGTCATAGTTGTGCATCCTAGACTGTACGCTTCTATGTAAGTCGTCATGACGCTATAGAATTTAAGTTTCTTTTCGAACTCTACTCTAATTGATTTCTTTGTCAAACAAAACACTACAGCACTGCCTTTTGTAGCGAGAATGTTTTTCTTTTGATTTCTAGCAGTGATAATCTTATCCAACAGGGGAATACGTCTTCTGTCTATCATTTCATATTATTACCTTTGGTCGGTAATGATTTTCTGTTCAATGGGAAGGAGTTTAATGGCTACTCTAAGGTGCAACCATTTTCGGTGATTCGAAGCTCAATTAACTTGAATCTAATCTACGTGTTTATTCCATCCACTATGTTGTTGTCGTCGTGTGAGAAGAATAATGCAGAGACGACTAAATTAGTAGCACTGCATATCAAATATTTATTGGATGGTGTTTTGATACAATCAAATCATCTGAAAGTGAGTATATCTTGCTATTGTATTCATTCATTCATTCTTGTCCTAATCACCCGGAACAGATTTCCCATCCTCCAGGATATAAACCACACACATACAGTTATTCTTTGGATGCCAATGACACTATCCTCTTGTCAAGGAGATCCGTTAGGCCAATAAGCTACAACTCAACATTCACGTCTACTAGTCTTTAAGCAATATGACGATATAAAATAAGACCAATCACTTTTCAGAGATTAGGAAGGGACTTACTCAGCATTATCTCTGCTGTAAATTGATTTTGTGTTAATGAAATGACTAATTAATTCGGAACTGCAGAAGTGAGTTTTTCTCGCAAGAAATGAAGTTCCACTAGGCAAATCACTATCCACTTTACAGCCCTAGATTATTGCTAGAATATCATTCTGATTGTTATCTCTTAGATATTGTCGTCTTTCTTCTTCATATTTAGAGACTAGCACGGAAACATGATAGTCTTCGAAGTTTTCCGCCAACACAAACGACCGAAAAGAGCTCTAAAATAATAAACGAAGCGTTATCTGTGTCTACTGTGTACGATGTTACTGTCACGATACTGACGCTCGGTGAGTCGCAGTTGCCAGCGAAGTCTAAATCCAATGAATTATCAATTTGGTTTGACAAGATGTTAACAAATCCAATCCCTTGGTTGAAAGCAAATGTAGGCTTAGCTTTCAAATCATGGTTGCCCTATATCAGAGTAGATTTCTATTCACAGAGACTGCATGCAGATAATGCTGAACTATTGAAGAAAAGGTGAGTTTTTCAGCTGACCAGTATGAGACGTGTTGCTGGGTTAGTTAAGTACATCAGAATAAATGCTATATTTTCTGTGCTCTGAAGTCCCCGTAGCAATAAGGAGTATCTCCTGCTGGGTGAGTTTGCTAGTCCCGCGCCCAACCTTCTCTCTTATCTGGGTTTGGAACTGTGAGATGGTGAACTGGGTTAAATCAAACCACTCACTCTTAATTTTTGTGGCCTAGCTACACTCCGTATAGTGTTAACTGAAGTCTCATTCTTCATCTTACTTCCTTATGAATGATGCAATATGCATAGTTTATGATTAAAACGCCTTCGACATCGTCGACCGTGAAGTAATTTGGAAACCACTACGAGACTATGAGGTGGACCAAATCTTTATCAACCTTGTTCAACTGCTATATGAAAGTGCCAAGTGATCCACCAGGAAAAACTCGGTGAAGCCTTTGATGTGAATACAGGAGTAAGACTAGGCTGACTACTCTCACCGATGATATTCCTGATTGTGGTGGACTGAAACATGTGGCATACCGTGCGTGGGGAGCGAAAAGGTAGATAAGGAGACTCTGGATATTGCGGACGATTTGTATCTAGTGAATTCACATGAATTCGGAGACTTACAGGCGAAAACCAACAAGTAGGCGGAAGAACGCGCAAAGACGGGACTTCAAGTGAACACAGAGAAGACAGAGGTGATGAAGATAACCAACCATGAACAACAAGCACGAATAACTGCCAACGGAAGAAATTTGAAGGCGGTCACTTCCTTCGCGTATCCAGTAAGCATCGATTCAACTACAGGTAGGCGGAAGAGATGAGGATGTCGAAACCAGAATCGGAAAGGTAAGGCAGACATTCATCACTCTGAAATTAGTTTGGAAATCTTCTGCGCTCAACATAAGAGACAAAATATGAGTTTCCCACACCATTGTTAAGTTGATTCTTCTATATGAGTCAGAAATTTGAAGCGACACGAAAATCATTTCCAACAGGCTACAGCCTCATATCAGTAAATGCTTTGGCTGGTTCCTTACTGAAGATCAGATGGACAGAACGAGTTAGAAACAAGGAACTCTGAGTGACTTGGAGGTGATCGTGTGGAGAAGAAATGAGAGCCTTTAGTGCTAGTGGACTTCCCACAAGCCAATCTCTTCAATAAACACCCCTAAGTAACACTCTCGTCCAAAGAATTGCAGACGTCTCTAATATCAAGAGACAAAACAACTGTTTACTGCACTGTGTGTGACGGTGTCCTAACAACTGATGTAGAGTGGACAGATCATGTATACATTGACGACCTGTAAGAACCCAGTCTGCTCTTCACGAATCCGATTTTTATCCCTTTTATAAACTCTGTAAGACTTGATGGTAGTCAGTATTTTTGATACAGACCAATATCTGGATGATTTTCTTTAAAGAAGAGTGAAATGGTGGTCTCTCTTCGTGATGATAAGAAATTCCTAGAGTACTTCACCGCGCATTATAGATGTATTTGCAAGTCGTTACTCGGCCTACTATCTGACGTCCACAGGTAATCAGTAGGAGTCCATTTCAAAGGTCATTGTGGATATACTGTCTCTTTAAATGCATTATTAAGTCTTTCATTTTACTCCACGATCTACAGAATAGAATAGTGAGAATCTGTTGGGCAACTTTCCATTAGAATTATCTATTGTCCCTGTTATTTAATTCTCTTATTAGTCGACTGTCAAAAACCGGGAACTATACGTTCTACTCTGAAGATGATGTATCAAATCTGATTAATTACTTGGAGTCATTCCTGGGGCCTCCTCAAACATCGTATGCAGCCAATCGTGATATGGTACATTCTAATCCAGGACTACATCTTATATTGTTGTTGAACATTCCAAAAGCAACCACCTCATATCAGGCTGACTGTACATTACCTTTGAGGTTTCATATCGAATCATCTTCATCTGTGGAAATCACCGACTATGCACTTGTACCTCAATGGGGTGGTCTACTATCTATTGATGCTGCTGATTGCCAATCGAAAAATGGTGAAGCCAGCTTGATTGCACAAAAAATGATATACACGATACGCTCAATATTAGGGTTTCCACAAATCAGAGAAATGACTTTTGATCAAGGCACTGACAATCAAGCCTATTATTATATTCAGTCTGATATGGATCTGAATGGTAAAACAACCAATTGGTTGGTAAGTTTTCTGAATGATACATACATATTCTTGTGACAAACAAAAGTTTAACCTAAACATTCATAGGTGATTTCACTCGATGTAGAAGACTTTGCAGGAAGTATTGCTTGAGTCTTTAATCGTGTTAACGCCTAATGAACCTAGTTCACAAGACTTCTCGCAAACACAACTCACTTCAAAACGTTTCTTGGAATCGAACGCAAACTGGCAAAATATTTCTGCTCACAATGACACGAATATCCCGGTCAAAAGCGTTTGCACTATGTATGGTATCGAATTTCCGGCTGTTTCCTTCTGAAGTTGCAGTGAAGCTGTTGAAAGCTTTCTCAACAAGTCTACCAGTTTACATACAGTTTATTCCATACTGAACAGCAGTGGAGCAACACTCCTGTTCTTTGTCACATGGGAGATGATCTTACTTTACTTTCATGCTGTAGTGACAGCACTGTTATTTGTAAAACGAATTTTGGACTATAGAACGTAGAACTTCACAAAGAGCTCTTAACTAACAGACAGACAGCCAAGTCAACATCGAACAGTCTACATCGATAGAACTTATCACAGTTCGAAAGAGTGAATTTAATATCAAATGTAGACACACAAATGAGAATGAAATAGAAGGAAGTGTGTGTTTCTACAGCCTTCTTCGTTTGAAACAGTGGTTTCTCAGACATTGTGAAAAGTCAAGTCCACCATATTATTGGTATTTCACAAATTATATTTCTCTTAGCAAGGAATTTCCCACAGATCAGTGTGCTCACTGACATCAGAGCAAATCTTATTCCTGATATCTACTACATACAGTTTACTTATGTGGTTCATTATTTCGAAAATAATAAACGTGGCTGCTTTATTTCACTCAAACTACTGACTATCATCAATTAATTATTTGTCTGGACACACGCTTGGCATAGAATAAGATTGGAGAACGGTGTCATGCAAAATTGCACCTTTCCAGAGGATTGAGACACCGCTGCAGATATTCAACCTAAAGCGTCGGTAGCACAGTGGTTAGACTCTCGCCGACCATGCACATGGTCCGGGGTTCGATCCCCTGCCGGCGCACACCCGTTATCTATGGTTGGCCTGAATTTGGGCTACCGATATCCATGCTGAAAATTCCACACTTGTACTGAAAATACGGTGTGGAATCAAGCTGTAAATCAAAATAAAAAAAATTTTCAAGGCTGGAAACCAACTTCTGGTGCTGTACTGTGCCCTCATAACTGCCAGTGACCAGACCATGTTCACGTCCTCTTCACTTCTTTCGGACCCTACGTACACCAATGGTTTTTCGTTAAGGCCTTCCAATTCTCTTAGTCGAACCCTGTCACCATCTATGTAACGACGAGTGCTAAACGTGATCATTAGTAGCCACATCACGTATGACCTCCGGTGATTGTGAGAACATTTGTGTATTGATTGTTCCCCATCTCGTTTTCGTTCAAATGCAAGTGCACAGTTCTACTAGTGGATTTGTTTTTGAAGTTACTAGCGTTGAATGAATCAAGACATTTGTGTGTCACTCCTCATGAATGTAACATGCATCTCCACATTTCCTAAACTCATAATTACTTATATGTACGAACTGTTAAAGTCTCTGAAACCAATTGGATTATTAAACTAGACCCTTTTTATTTTTGAAGACTCTTCTCAATAATTTCACTAATTGTTTTCGATACTGACTTATTTTTCGAGATAGACAGTTGTCCTCAAACCAACGACGCTTATCAATCTGTAAGAGAAATTGCTCAAATAATAATTACTAGTAAACAGTATAAGTGATACTTTTTTTCTTTAGCTCAGTTTCTGGTTTCTCCGAAGGACTGTTGAATGCATTACTGAGACAAAACGGACAATTGGATCGTTGGTTAATCTACTACAACGTCTTCCAAACATGATTATAAGAGACGACGTCGCCAGCGAAGTTGATCGTGCATGTTCAAACTGGTCACTCACACTTGATAGTCTAAAAGAACCTAGGGAAGTAGACCGACCAACAATATCCCGCAATACGACCATATCTTCCCTTGGAAATACATTTTTGCATGCACATAGTGCCTTAAGTTCATCGAATGGGGCATTCTTTGACCACAGCCTTCTTGGTCTTTTGTACTTTGAGGTAAGCAGTGCCTTGTGTATATTTCTGATTGTTACTTCAACATATTGATTTGATTGGCATATCTATAGAGCAGTCTGCCTGTGTAAAGAATGAAGTGACAGCAGGTCTAGTGTGCTGAAGGATACCCGCCCATGACATTGGCTAGTGGTCGCGCTATATCGTGAATTAGCAGAAGTTGGAATTGATGGGCGAGTGGATCGTGTCATAGTGAACTATTGGTATACGGACTCACCTCGCAACCACAAGGTCCTAGGTTCGAAACCCATCGAGTGTGTGCCGCCGAAAAGTCCCAAACTACGCCGAGACAGCTGCCCAGCTTTTCCAATGGTCCTGCAACCGATATCTGCTCATGATCAAATCCTGTAGCCAATCAAATCAATTCCCTGCAAACCAACACTTAAACACGATGTTAATTGAGAGCATGCTGTACTGCTCACAGTAACTGACACTGAACCACCGTTGCAGCCATCTTCTTCAGGTAGAGACGTCATTCTATTTGACTAAAACAGTAGTGGATACTTTATTCCCAGGATGACTAGTCTTAAGAATTCGTGTAATCTGAGCTAAATTTATCCCAATATAAGAACTAATTTAACCTAATGTGTCTCATGAATCTGATAGTTCTAATTTATTGTATGCTTTTGCAGGATGACCAAAAGTACGGGATCTATACACCCTTATTTGTTCCAATCGGCTTCGCTTTATTTCTATCCACACTACGAGCGTTCAAAGTCATATTCCGTGGCGGGAAAACATAGGATGTGTATTTACTTCTTTATTTTGTACCCGTTATTTAAAAGCAATAAAAAGTTTATATACAATCTGGGCTTTTCTTCAGACTTTTAACCAAATCCATGACCCTTATACAATCTGAAATAATCGACAGAATAAGCAGCAGCTAGTGAGTAGCAAGACGGTTCAACTCGCTCCCGCACTATTCAATTATGAGCATATTAGGGATTTTAGACCAACATCAAATTCGTCGTATTGCTTTTTGAAAAGAACACTTTTCGCCTTTTTTCCTATAGCCCGACTTTCTGTAGCTCCAAAAACTTGCCGTCTTGTCTGGTTTATTAGTCTTCCAAGTTTTGTTAGCTCAGCATCTGCCCTGCAAATATTACTGCGATGTAAGTTTTTGCATTTATCAGGTTCACGTTGAGAATCTAGTAACAAGAAAATAGGAAGGAAACAAAAGAACTAGGTTAGACAATACGCATACATGTGAGTACTTATTGAAGTGCATACTTTCAGAAGGAAGTGTGATTCCTATTGTTACAGTCAGATTCCAAACTAAGGTGCTTTAAAAGTAGTTTCCTTTTATGAGTTCGCTTAGTGCATATCGTCCTACAGTAAACGCCGAGCTAACTTGACTAATGTGTCTAGCAGGTCGTCCGGATGTGAAACCTGTTACCGTTGAAAGTTAGTTAAATTATTTCACCATCTATCAGTCATTTACTCTTTCGACTTAAGGTTTTCAGGTATACAACTATCAATTCTTGGTAATCATTATCAGAATAATCGTACTGTTTTTAGGCATGTGACACTTTTACAGTTAGTATATTCACGTTCCACGCTTAATACCGCAATCATAAAATTGAAGTATAGAACTTGACAGGTAGTTTCTAGCTTAAAGCACAATTGCTTTTTAATGAGTCAATGGGTCAAATAAATTGTTGTGTTGAAGTGCAAACCCTGTTTGATATTCTCAAATAGAAGAGAGCCTGACATTCCATAGATTCTCATTGACAGCGCAGGCCACGATGTAGTTCACAAAAATGATACTGCATTACTCCTGAACTCTTTTAGTTGTTCACTTTCTTCACTTGGGCATCTCATACACAATATACATATATGTGTCTAATAAAACCTCAATACAATTCGCCACAGCACGATCGATTAATACACATCTACAATTCCTATCACTATGGGCAAATATACAACTACTTCCCCAGTTTCTAGTGTCAAATAATTACAACTATTCCTAGCCTGTTAAACTAGTTCCGCATCAATAAGGTCTAAGTTGTAATCCTACCAATGACTGAATAGAAGTCAAATTTAAGTACACCGCTTAATACCTCCTTTGATGATGCAGTGCTGATGACTGACTGACACTGTGAACTCAGTGGTGGCTATATCATGTGACTTCATTCACAAAATACATCTTATTGGTCAACAACATCGCATCGTGATATGCTGTCTAATCCTATACTAATGACGCCAAACTAAACATGTACAAAGATTATTGGGATAGCTTTCAAGAGAAAGCACCTCAGAAAGGAAATCCCCAGTTCAAACTACAATCGCTTATGACCTTAACTATGCATATATACCCAAAAAGTCTTCAGTTACTGAAAGCATCCAGAAAAAATATAATATGTAACTACGCTTGAAGAAGAATGATTAATAGAGACAAATACGTAATGACACTAAAACACATCAACATACGCGAAATCTCTAGGATCTAGGAGGAAAAAACACGTGACTACATATGCACCACCATGTGGAATTTTAAACCGTCAACAGATTCTCAATGCTCTACACTAGGCAACCTGCACTTGAACGTGGTTCAGACTCAACCAACTACTTTGCACAACGCCACTGATACCCTTTCGCATCACTATTTCTAAAGATTAGGCTTGCAAATGTATTCCATTAAGGAAACAGCCACGAGTGTTGTCAGTTGTATTGGTCTCATCCGAACATTACCTTCCAAGCTGAACTCACGACTAGCTTAATATTGATAATGCTGCTCGAATGGATGCGGAGAAGACCGAAGTAGGCTTCTTATTGAATAATAACCACACCTAAGGAGCCATACCTCTTCATATCTTTTGTTAGTGATCATGGCAAAAACAATTGACTGGCTATTCGTAGTAGTCTCAAAGAAAATGTGGTCTAGAATACCCCACTTTGAACTAGCTACTTCACGTAGCAATTAAATGTTAGGAAGCTTAACTCGAAATACTGACTAACCAAAACTCTACACGAAAGTTTCATAGACCCAAGGGTTTTGCAACATCCAGAGTTTATGAATGCAAACTACTATACTATGGTAAACTCATACAATGCAACTTACAATGTACCTCGGGGAAGATTCACACAAAGAATCAGCAGGAATAGGAAATAAGGTTTCAAAAATACAAAGTCAATAATTATGGATTCATAAGATCGGAAAATACCTTTCTTGTTTGAAAACGTCTTCCAGCTAACTATTTTAGCGTCACGTTTGCGGTAAAGTTCGTTACGAAGATGCTTCAGCTGACCTTTACTTTGATTTTTCTTGCTCGATTTTCTCCTAGACTAGAATTAGTTTCCAAATATACAAAATTCACAAGAAAAATTACCTTGTGGAGTACTTAACCATATGACTGTACACTTTTTGTTTAGATGTTGAAAGTACAATATACTGTTGGTAGCTCCGCCTTCTCTCTGGTTATTTCTGTCTACTCACTCAACTCAAACCGTGTTGTATATTTTGGATTTATAAAAGGGATCTGTCATCCTTCCAATATCCAATATCCTGATTACGAGCTAGTATAAACCAGTGATTTCTTTGAGCTCGCTTCTTGATTTTAAGGTAGAGGTTCCAGATCTTCGGTGAACTTATCCGTAGTAAATCCCGCCACTCAACTGCTTTAGCTCTGGTAGACTCCAGGAGGAGTGATGCGAGGATTGGTCAAGATTGTGGTTTGTAGTGTGCAGTATGTTAGGACTCAGCTGCTGCCGTGAATGGAGTTTGACCTAACACCCGTTGGTCATTCGGTATAGTCATAAAAGTAGAGTAATAATAATAATGATAATAATAGGTTGTAGTGTAGATAATATAGGTTGAGATAAGTGAAATAATAAAGAAAGAAAGAAAAGATAGAGTAGTCGGTACAGTGGGAGAAGACAGGACGGGTCGTGGGGATTTAGCTTGTATGCTTATCCATTGACAATGTGGTTTCAAATTTTAAGAGGGTAAGCCATTGAAACACAAACCATGCATTTCTGCATGATTGTCCAGCTTCCGCTTAAAAGTCTCCACAGATGGAGCTGTAGTTACGGCCGCCGGTAAAGCGTTCCAGAGACGGCAAACTCGAAGCGAGAAGAAATGTGAACGCACTCGAGTCCTTGGTCTCTGGTGTGCTATCCTTAGCGGGTTACCTCGTGGAAGCCTATAATCACTTAATGGCAGGATGCTCTTATTAGGATGGGCCTGGTCATTTAGGATCTTATAGACGGTGATGAGGTCTCCCCTGTGACTACGGTAACTAAGTGTGAAAAGACTTAATTTCTTCAGTCTCTCCTCATATAATTTGTTGCGGAGGCCGATCACCCATTTTGTCGCTCGTCTCTGGACACTTTCTAGCATGTTAGCATCCCTTTTGAGTAGCGGAGGAGCAATGATATTATGCACCTCAAGGAGTGGCCTCACGTATGTCGTATACAACGTTAGGAATAGTTCAGGAGTAAGAGCTCCCAGTTGCCTATGCATAAAGTGTAAAGTGCCGTAAGCTTTGGCGACGTCCCTCGTGTAATTTACACTGGTGTCTAGCTTTTCTGTTAAAATAAGGCCTAGATCGCGTTCTGATGGCACACAACTCAAGTTCTGGCCACCAAGGGTGTAGTCTGCACTCTGTGACCTGCCGGAATGAAGTTGCACTACTTTGCACTTCTTTAAGTTGAAAGGCATTCCGTTAGCCAGAGCCCAGTCCCCCAGCGTTTGCAGGTCAGCCTGCAATCTGTCGGAGTCTTCCGATGAGTTTATTGCTCTCCAAATCTTTACGTCGTCAGCGTAAAGAAGCGCAGAGCAATTCAGTTGACAGGGCAGGTCATTGATAAAAATCAAAAACATCAACGGCCCTAAGATAGAACCCTGAGGATCCCCTGATGCCGAGGTGTGCCAGGATGATCGGATGCGGTTGACTTTGGTGCAGAATTCTCTCTCGCCTAAATAATCTTCCAGCCATGCGAGAAGTGCTGCAGAAACACCCGCTTTGCTTATTTTGTGAAGGAGCAGACCATGGTGAACTGTGTCGAATGCTTTCGCAAAGTCGAGAAAGATCACATGGACTGGTACCTTTACATCCCAGGATAGTGTCCAATCGTTCCAAGCTAGTAGAAGATTCGTCACACAGGATCTTCCCTTCCTGAAACCATGCTGTGCTTCATGGAGTAGGTTAGTCCCGTCGAAGTATTTTCTCATGTGGTCGTCAATGAGACTTTCCAATATCTTCGATATCACTGGGAGTAGCGCAACTGGTCTGTAACTGGTCGCGTTCTGCCGGTCACCACCCTTGAAGATAGGGGATAGGATGGCTCGTTTCCATTCACATGGAAGTTTCCCTACATCAAAGGAGTGTTGAAACAGATCGCTTAGGGGTTGGCAGAGACTTTCTGAACACTGCTTCAGGACGGATGGTCTTATGTCGTCTCAACCTGCAGACTTTCCCGAAGCCAACTTTCCCAATTTTATGAGTACCATAGCCGGGGTAATTTGAAATGTACCCAGCAGGTTTTCGCACGTTGGTCTTGTATTGTAATCTTGATGTTTTGTGAGGGTAAAATCCTCGTTACTGTTCAGTTGCCTATGAAAGGCTAGACTGAATGTCTCTGCCATTTCAAGACTAGCAAGAGATTTCCCATCAGAACCCACTATATTGCAAGCTCCCTGGTTGGTCGGTTTTCTTTCAGACATAAACCTGTATAGGCTTTTGGGGTTCACGAGAAGCTTATTGGCGAGGTTTCTCTGAAATGTCCTTCTATCACTCCGGACTCGTATGTTACACCGATTCCTGAGTT